ACAACTATCAATTTCAAAATTAATCAATGTATGAAGAATACTGTATATGTAAAAGTAAACTATATGCGAACGTCAATAAAATGTGGGATAATTTTCTTCTGATCTAAGGGTCATCATCTAATAATAATGGTACAACGTCTTTGTTGTACATTTAAATCTCAAAATACAATGAAAATTCAACATTGAAATTTAAATACAAAAAATAAAAATAAAATAAAATAAAATAAAATAAACCCTAGAAAATCAATGGCCTAAGTTTTTTGGAGAAGGAAGATGTGAAGGGAATGGGACTTCACATGTCTCATATTATAATTTATAAATATAGTCACATGCTTGATTACCTTTTGGGCCCATGCAATGGAAATCTTCAAAATTGAGGTTATCTTATCCAAAAAATTTAAAATTAAACACTTAACTTACATTACATTAATTTTGACCTTGCAAAGCTTACCTAAATTATGTAGGTAGTATATACATATATATTTAGAATATACAACTAAAAATCCATTATACGTAGTACATACTATATCTTCAATATCATGTACGTAAATCCTAAGAGAATGAGTCAATGAGACACAACTATTTTAAAAACTTCGTTTTCAGCAATTTTATCTCCTTAATTGTTTTTCTATGAACAATACATGAAATTTCCTCTAAAAGTCTGTTTTTCATTTGTAAATTGAGCTCAAACCAAAAATTGATTTTAATTTTTGAGAAAATTAAATATTAGAAATTCATGACCAATACAAAGTAGCCAATTTTACAACTTTACAAGATACAAAGTTGAAATCAGAACCTTAAATTTTCAAACTAGTACTCAATAACATAGGATAGATTAATGACAAAATCAACATTACTACAGAATTTGGTCCACCAAGAGTTGACTAAGCTTGTGATTGGCATTCTTTGAAGATAAAAGACTTAAAAAGACAATTCATTATCAAGTGAATCAATACAACTACACAAGTCTCCAAAATTACTAGACACTCTTTTTTGCTGTGATTATCTCTTTAATGTTCCTATAAAAACAACAGTAAAGTCTTGGTTCCAAAATGATTTGAGGTCAGGTAACATGAATTGTTATAAATATCGTATGATTTAAAGCAAGGACACAATAAAATAATCATTTGAAAGAGTTTGAAAAAAAGTGAGTAAAGTAAGCAAATAAAAGAGCATTCATGAAAAAATAAGAAAGTTTTAGAAGAAAACCAAGAATTAAATTCAAAATGAATCATTTGGATTTAAGTTATTTAATACGCCACTATACAACACAAGTAGAAGTTTATATGAAATACGTATGACTTAACCCAAAGATCATAAATGATAGATACCTATATAATCTACAAACAAAAAGCTCATTTTTAATGCAATCGCGATCTAGCAAATAGCAATCACAAATTTACAAGAATGAAGAAGTACTTAGTGACCAATAATCTAATTGTGAACAAAATTTCACTTTCAAGAGCATTTTGATATTTTTCTTGTAACCCTAAAATTTGAAAGTAAGCTATTTAAAGAAAGGTGGTCCAATTTACATTACCAATTTTGTAATGGCTATCAAATATCACTACCTTCAAATAATCAAAAAATTATTTAATATAAATATAATACTAATATTCGTATTAGAAGTATAATGGTCTTGAAAATGATAAGTGAAGACAAGAAGAAAATGACAATTTGTTGCCAAGTGCAAATGGACCGACCACCGGCGGCTAGCCAGTTGCCGACTGCTCAAAGTAAAAATAATATTTTTTTAAAAAAATAATCCTTTCTCCCTTCCTTTTTGTTGGGGAAACATTTGCTTTGATCGAGACTTTGAGAGTGAGGGATAACTTAAGAGGTTAGAGTTCTCCTCCCGATTTCAAGAGATCTTGGGATCGCTTCTCATTCTCCGCCCTTGTGGCTCTCTAAACACAAAAAAAAACACTTGCTTTCATTGGCCTCTAATTTTATGCTTTTAACCATTAATAAATCTAAAATTTAATATTCGTACAATTTAGAAAAAAATAATCATTTATATATAGAGTACTTTGATGTTCTAATTTGAATTTTCTAAATTGCGATTGAATAACTAGATTAAGTCCTGTGTCATGCACAATTTTTACAAAAAATTTTAACGTTAATTCAAAATCTATAAAAAAAATATTTTTCATATTTTCAATTGTTAAAAATATTTGAATTTTAATTTATACCTAGAATGAGTCCCGAATTTGAATTATCTTAAAGGGTAAACTAGGAGAAACATCTAAATATATATATATATATATATATATATATATATATATATATATGTATAATAATATTTTATACAATAAAAAAAATGTAATATATATTTTTCTTAGGAAGTCAATCAAAATTATATACAAAAATCAATTTTTTTTTAAGAAGTGAATTAAAAAAAAATGGAGGGAAAAAACAACACCAGGAAGTGACACATGTCATTCTTGGTGTCTGCTTTAACATTATGTTATTGATTCAAGTCTAGGCTAACTTAATAATTTGATTTAACTGAATTTTGGCCTTATAATTTTTTTTTTGTCTGATTTTAAACAATTAATAATAATAAGTGAAGCCATTGTATGCAATATATAGTAATCAAATCCAATTCATCTAACACAATGATATATATATAAATAAAATAATTAATATATAAGAAATTTGGTTAAGATATTTATTGTAAAGTTTTAAAGCTCAAAAGGCAAATATTGCAATCAAAAGAGATTGAAATACTTCCTCCATTAATGGTTAATTGCAACAAAAAGGTATTATTTGTGAGATATAAAATATCAATAAATCTTGCGTGAACCTGGTGTACAATAATATTATTGTGGACCTAAGGTTTATACACACGTAACTGACATTATATTCAACATAGTGACCTCTAATTATATTATAGTAACTTTATTTTTAACATAGTAACCTTTTTTAAAACATGTGTGACCTTTAATATTATTATGAATTTAAAGTACGAAATTATGTTGAATAATAACCTAATTTTAACATTATGATCTTTTTTATTCATATTGACCATTATATTAAAAATTTCATTAAAAAAAGTTAAGCTGTTATAGCTTTTATAATGTCACACTAACTTTTATTTCAACATAATAACCTTTATTTTAATATAGTGACTTTTTTTTATTAATAAAACAATCATATTGTCTCTAATGTTAGTGGTGCACAATAAATTAGTGTGAACTAGGTCCATTTAAGAATTTGTAATAAAATATTCCTTTATTGTAATTAATCATTAACGAGGAAGTATGTAAGTGAGAATATTAATATATTATTTTCGTAATAAAATAACGTTATTTTTTATATTTTAATTTTTTTTTAAAAAAAAATTCACTATGTCCGTACAATTGATCTACTTACTACAAGAGTCCCCACAATATCATGACATCCACCAAGCATAAATCTTCATTCGACAAACCTAACTTCCTTTTCCTTTATTTTTTACATGAATCTTTGAGAAAAAACTTTATTGTGGTGGCCCATAACAATTCATGAGTCGTGCCAACCTAGTCACTAGTTCTTGTTTCAAATAAAAAACAACCAAGAGAAAAGTGAAATTAATTAATTTAATTAGTTTTATTTTAAGAAATAAATTAAATTAATTTATTATGTTAATTAATTTAATTAGTTTAATACTCCGTAGAAGTAATGTCAAAAAAACAAATAAAGCTATGCGTAAGCTCAATTATTATAGCGTTACCTAATTGTTGGATGCAATATAAAAAAGTTGATGGTTTTTAATGAATGGACCAAGTGCATTCAACTTTTAACAATCCCCCCTCTCTCAACCTTATTTTAATAAACAATCTTTGGTTTAATTTAAATTAAACTTTACAAGGTTCGCAAATCTTATTGCTTTGAGGATGGATAGATAATTGGATATTGAATATGCATTATATATAATATTTTTATATAATGGGTGTATACATAATCAACAAGGTTAAACATATCAAATATAATACTCCGTATATTATTCTAAATTTTATAAAAGTCACTTCAAATCACAACAAAGTTAGCATCGTAAACCTATTCCAAGTATATGCAATTAAGTCAATTCATGAGGAGGTGAATTTCAACTAACTTATTTAGTTTAAGTCTTAAAACGCAGTACTCAATATATAAGATTGAATCATGTACATACATATAAAAGAAAAGGAATAAACAAAAGAGATGTAAACTTTATGAAGAGGTGAATTTAAATTAGATAAGGTTTTAAAATGTGGTGCTTAGAATATAGGATTGAATCATGTACATACACCAAAGAAAAAGAATAAACAAAAAAGTCAACTTTATATAAAGAGAAATCAAATCACATAAAAGTCAACTTCATATAGAGGGTGACCAAGTCATTGACCAAGATTTTGTTCTCTGAAAACTAAGGTGTTCAAAGATGATAACCAATGTGACAACTATTAACAACAGTAAATTAGGATAAAAAGCTTAATTAACATGCTGATTAATTCTGACAACTGCAGAAATTGGTACTTGGGAGCGATAAACCTGAACTCACCAAACAGGAAAACAGTAAGTAAACTGAAGTACTGAGAGTTAACTTATCAAGTTCTGCTGAACAAAAAACAAAAAAAAAAAAAAAAAAAAAAAAAAAAAAAAAAAAAAAAACCCTGTGGTAGAAAACTAGATAGGAGATGAAGAGGATGCTCCTCAATTACACATAGTAATAGCAACATATAAAAAGCAATAGCAAAGCATAATACTGTACTACACGATGACTTCAAAAAACTGGGACCTAAATCAAGCAGCAGCAATGCATAATACTGAACAAAGATGTACGAAAAACTTGGACCTGAATCAAGCAGTAGCAATGCATAATACTGAACGAGGACGTACGAAAAACTTGGACCTAAAAACTTGGACCTAAATCAAGCAGTAGCAATGCATAATACTGAACAAAGACGTACGAAAAACTTGGACCTGAATCAAGCAAAACCAACTCGATCAAAGCTAACAATTCAGAAAAACACACATTTTAAAGCCCAAAACCAGCTTCTTATCCACAAAAGTTGTTCCAAGAATATATCAGAAGTAGAATCAAAGTTTTGAATATCAGCAAAACAGTAATGGGAATACAACAATTATACGTTCTATTTGAACTTCCAGGTTCCAATATTATGTTCCTAGTTCCTATATAACCCCAATTGTTGAACAAGAATGCAATGACAGAACAAAGAGGTCATAACATGATGCGGCTGCAGTACTCGCACTCTGAAACCACCAAGGATCTTGTTGCTCCTGCAGAAAGTATACTTAACCACACCATACGACAGTTCAGAAATTGCATTACCAATGTCAAGGAGTTGAATGGAGAGGTCTAGATAGCAGCTTTTGTAGGTATCATTTTTTAACAGCATGCCAGCTGAAAATGGTAGCAAACTAAGTCTTCAAAATAACGATGACGCTATGCCTATAGACAAAAAAGGCAAAAAAAACAATAGCTCATCTGTGGCCCATAATAAAACTAGCCACCAATTTTGTATGGATATCCTATGATATATGGCAGTTGCTTCAATCCTAAACTAAAATGAAAATTGGCTCATCAAAGGCAAGAATCTATCCTAACACCCCAAAATGAATGCATGTAACTCGGACCAGCTAGAGGCTGTGTAAAGAACACCAGGCTTGGCCTTCCAATTGAAAGAATCTCCTTCAACACACTCCCTTTGTTTCTTCACCAAACCTTCAAACAATGGGACAAATGAAACCCCAAAGTGACTCCCAAGTCTCTTCAAACTTGAACTCGATCCAACAACAATTCCTATGTCCGCCTTGAGTAAGCAAAGCAAGTCACCAACAGAATCCCCTATATATACACTTAAATTCTTCTTGTCGTCACCACAACTGACCAAGATCTCATCGAATGCTTGAAGTTTGTCAATGGGAGATTCAACCTTCCGGATGATTTCACCGGTGGAAATGGATTCTTCATAGTTGAACTCATTTGCATGTATGTTTAATGCATCCAAACCACCTGGTATACAAATATATTTAGCAACTTCACATTCATTTGAAATAATATTGCAAGTAAACCACATAAATGCCAAAACTTGGTGAACAGTAAACATAGATAAATTAAAGGAAAAATTAGAAAATAACACCCAAAAATTGTCACAATTTTGATAATAACACCACCAAAAAAAAGTTTTTATTATAACACCACAAAAAAAACCAAAAATTTGCTTTCACCACCACTTAACTTTGCCATCCAAAAAAACCGTTAAGTGGGCCCCACACAATACACGTGTCAATCAACTATTGGATAAAAAATTCAAAAAAAAAAATAAAAAAAAAAAAGAAAAACCCTATAATCCTAACCCAGCCACCACCACCACCACCGGCGCCCATGGCCGGCACCCCAACCCAGCCCCTAACTCAACCCTACCATGGTCGGCACCCCAACCCAGCCCCTATCACTGCCTCTCAGACGTCGCCGAACCACCCAGACCCCAAACCAGCCAGCCAGCCCCCATCGTCGTCTCACCGCGCCGTAGCCGAACCACCCAGACCCCAACCCAAACCAGCCCAGGCCCCATCATCGTCTCCCCGCCGTCGCCGAACCACCCAGACCCCAACCCAAACCAGCCCAGCCCCCATTATCGTCTCCCCGACCCGAATCCATCGCCAAACCACCCAAATTCAACCCTAACCAGCCCAGCCACCGTACACCTCTACCAAACCCAACCAAAAGTCGTCGCCAAACCGCCGAAACCCCGACCCACCCATACCCAAACCCACTAACCGCCCTACTCCTCTCACCCTCACCTTGAACCAAATCGGGGTTCGGGTTCTTTCGTGGGTACGTTTGGGCTGATTTCGGCAGTCAAGGGGTGGTCGGCTGGCTGGTTTTGTGGGTCGAGGGTGGTCGGTTGGGATTGGGTGACGGCGGTGGAGGCTGAGTTGGGGAACGGCGGTAGGAATGGTGGCTGGGTATTTTAAGGGTTTTCCTTTTTTTTTAATTTTCTTTTTTTTTTTTTTTTATTTATTTTAATCCAATGCACAATTGACACGTGTACAATGTGGGATCCATTAACGGTTTTTTGGATGAAAAAGTTAAGTGCTGTTGAAATCAAAATTTTTGGTTTTTTGGTGGTGTTATAATCTAAGTTTTTTTTTTGGTGGTGTTATTATCAAAATCGTGACAATTTTTGGGTGTTATTTTCTAATTTTTCCTAAATTAAATACATATTTGAAACATTAGATATGCTATTTCGGGTAGCAGCACAGGAGATAGAAAGATGTTTTTGGCAAATTGTAACTTTTCCTTCCTGTTTGAACCTAGAACCTGGTTTCAGGGCCAAGCCCAAAGCTATGCATTACAACAAGACAGCAGTGCACATACCATTAGCTTACCACTGGCACAACTATGAGGCAACGAAAAGTTTTAAACATACTAATTTCATTTATATTTTCCTAAAACTGCTTTCAGTTCAGGACACTAGAATAACAAACAATTGGCCAGATAAAATACAATAGATATCTAGCAAAGACAGAGAGGAAGGAAACAATAGTATTAACATGTAAATCATACCAAGGATAAATATTAGTCCCCCTGCAAATCACTTGATCTAATGTTTGCAATAAACAGTGTTAGTGACTTGTTCAATGTAAGGTTTATTTGAAATTAAGTTCATCTACATCACATCTCTAGGTGGTAATGAGTTAAAATCAATATTAATAAAGAAAACACGTGTTTAGAAGTGAAGGTGCATTATCTTGGACAATCAAACGGAACATTTAAAGGTTGTATCAAAAGCTTCATTAACTTCCCTTTAGTATTTACCTTATACCATCGAGGGGGGTAAGTAATCAAACATTACAAGACAATATCAGAATTAAGCTCACCAAACCAAACACTCTTTGAACTCCCAATAAAACAAACCATATTATCATCACAATATGAAAATTAATTGACAATATAAAAAAGTTAGTTGGGAAGAATGGAAGATGCAGTTTACCTGATGAAAAAGCTGATCTGATTAAATCACCGCACCAACAATATGAAAGTACATGGACAGTCACATCCAGATTTTCTTTATGTACAGCATTCTGGAAGAAACTAGTACAGCCATCTTGAAGGATTATACGTTCACCAGCCTTCCGAATATCTTCAAGGTTCACACCTTTAAGGACTCCAGAATCAATCACCCTTGCATTGGCCTTTTTCTCAAAATCAGCAAGTAACTCAAGAGCCGTTTGCAGAGCATCAAAGTTGAACTCCCCTCCTAGCAATAACTCCAATAAGCAACTTTTTCTAAAAAAATGACAAAAATTAAACAAACCAAAATACAGAAGGCTCAACCCTCCACACCCAGCCCCACTCCAAATAAACCAACTTTAATATGATCTAGATACCTTTATCCGTTGATAAAACATTCTCGATGCATTGTTCATACTCCTCTGTGTACTGCCTCGAGAGAACACCCCATGTGTTCCTCAAATCAGCAGATGACATCCGAGTAATTTGACCGTCAGTTGGACTTTGATCAAACTTCGGAGCTGTTACAATTGCGATCTCAGCTAATATTGCAGATGAATCAACAACTGTACAAGTCAAGTCAAAATCTGAAAACAGCATGAGACGTGATTCTTCAGGATTAAGCTCTTTCCACAACGGAGCGACGGTCTTTTGTGATAGTGTTTGTGCCCCAAAGAATTCTGTCTCAAGTTTCATGGCCTGTTTATAAAGCTTTTCAATAACATCAAGCTCTTCACCAGTTAGAGAAGCACTCAATTTATCCAGCAATTCTTCGATTTGCAAAGTGCATGCCTACATTCATTTGAAATATCTTAATTGCCTGCTCAAATTATATTACACTTTACCACTACTACCGTAGCCATAAAATTAGATAACTACAATAAGAGCTCAATACCATGACAAACCTGGAAGCCTTCAGACGAATAATTGTCAATCCACTTCTTGTAGGGGTGAGTATTGAGATCTGGATCCGCCAAAGCCTTAAGCTCCTTGCCAAGAAAAGCATACAGCCTCATACAAGGTGTCATTGCACCCAAAGTGTAAGCTGCTATCTTTGTCTTCTCAAATGGCGTTGCAAGCTTACCAAGACCTTTTACTCCTTCAACTTTTCCTGAAGCTGTTGCTAAAAGAAAATCTATGTACTTTTGAGTTGCAGAGTTAACAGAGCTTTCTTCTTTACCAAGGTCAATTCCCCATTCCTGCAAAGTTGTAATAAGAACACATTAATATCTGCAGAAATTCCCATGACAAAATACACACAGATTTTAAATAAAATGTCACAGAACTCTGAGTGGCAATTTTATCATTGTTTGTGAAGTAGGTTAAATTCGGTGGTTGTAAGCATGAACATAGTACTCCCTCCGTCCCATAATTACAGGCAAATAACTCTAAAAAGTACGGTTTTTAAGGAGGATGGAAAAAGTAGAGAAAAATTGTATGAAAAAGATAAAAAGTGAAGAATGTTGTATGGGAATAATAAAAAGTAGAGAATATTGTATAGAAAAGTTAAAAAGTAAGTAATGATTGTTTGGGTATGTGTGTACTTTGTATAAAAAAAAAAGTAAGTAATGATTTTTTAGGTATGTGTGTAATTTGTATGGAAAACCTAAAAAGTAAGTAATGATTAAGTGTTATTTTTAGTAATAGGAGGAACATTTTGGGACACCCAAAATAGTATATTTGCGTGTAATTATGATGGAAAACTTGATGTTTAGACAAAAGCAGCGCCAGAAAGCAATATCACCACACTTGTTTGACAACACACATCAATAATAAGCGCAGTTTAATATTTTAGAAGACCAGTGCTCCCCCCCCCCCCCCCCCCCCTCACACACACACACACACACACACACACAAAGAAGATAAAATCAAAAGTAACAGGACACTTAATTCAAGGGGAAATGCATAAGCCATGACTTCTTAAAATCAATTAATCTACCTCTGTATATAAAGTGCCAAAAATTGCTATAATCAATTAATCTACCGAGATTCCCAATTTAACTCCTCTACAAGGATATCAGTTCACAAAGATTAATACCTTCAAGGCTCAGCAGATAGGGTCAAGATTCAATTCGGTAACTAAGTTGTGCATTAAGTATGATTGACAGGCAAAGGAAAAAAAAAATATTGATCTGCTATTAATTCATGGGGTCATAAACTCATAATTCATATACAGCCTCCAATTATTTTATGAAACTTCCCCCTTGCTCTAGGAGGAAACTAAGTAGCAGGCAAATTACACTCAATATTCCCCAGGGAGAAAAAAATTACACTTAATAATCCAAAACCAGGAAGTTGGCACCATGATATTCTTTCCATTCAAAATTTGAGTCATAAAATACCTTTACCAACTTAACCTCCCACTGTAGCAAACTAATAGCCAGCATAAGGAAATCATTTAAGATAATAGATGTGGATTCATTGCTCTTGAATGGCAATGCCCCTTTGTTAATCATATATCCCCATGTCTTAGAAAAATAATAAGCGCAAATCAGCGACTACCTCCGCTCCAAGATAGAAATCCATAACTTCATGCTTTTCATTTAAATAATGGTCAACAGCTTCTATATAATTACCCTTAAGTGGCCTTATTATCTCTCCATCACATCACCACTCTTTCTCTCTTTTATCCCTTTCCCTATCCTGTGCCCCTAGTTACCCCCTATTTGCTCACTATTATGACATATCTCAGTGATCTTTTCTATTATAAACCTCTGCCGTCTGCCCCAAAACATTTAGTTTATATATTCTTGATAACACTATATAAACAAAGTTAGAATTAAATTTACTTCCTAACTATTTTGTAAAGCAAGCATCCTCCATCTTCTGATTCTTATCCAACTAATAGATAAGCTAATAAAGAAGTAGCAGATCCTAAAATGAAACAAATCATCAAATCCTGACAGTTCCATCTTTCATAAACCTTATCGATCTTATCATTAACCTATCGCCTCCATAAGGATGATCTATAATTATCGACAAGAAAGCATTCAAAGCAATACAATGTGTTCTCAGGTACCACATTGGCCACTTACTAGTCCATCCTTTTCATTTCTGAAATGGTAACCGGTAATACCTACACTAGCCTGCATATATCATCTAACTGATAACTGGAATATAATAATTAAAATTTGGAGGAAAAATGGCCTTTATAAGCTAGTACAACTAGTTTTATTTAAATTTACTTCAGTGTTACCACCTCATACTCATACATTCATACTTCCTCCGTTCCTTAAAGTTTGCCCCATTTTCATTTTTAAGTTGTTACTATAAGATTGCTCCACGCCATAAATATACATAGGGGACTACAACTTCATTCTCACAATAATTTACTTAACACTTCTCTCTTATCAATCCGACTCACTAAAACTTATTAAAGTACAATATGGCTGTGGACAAACAATTATTAGCCATCACACGATCTCACTCTAGCAATTTGGAAAGAAATATATCTCAAGACAGATGTGAAAATATAGTGCTATACAGAGAATCATAGCACAAATCATATACAGCATCAGTAATTGTATCACTATATGGAGTCGAATAAACATGATACAGGATTACAAAATTTGCTTTCAATTTTAGTTTCCTCCTATACTGGAACCCTATACTGACCTCACACTCATTTTCTATACTTCCCCAACATTTCACATTCCACATAGTCAATTGCTCTGCTAAACCAAATCATTCATGCATACCAGTTGGTTAACATTGCATGAACCATTCTTTTTTTGAGGAAATTGCATGAACCATTCTAATTAAGTCTAAATTCAACATTCCTCAAACAAAATTAAAGACCTATGCATCAATGCTTACATGCAAAATCATAATAAAAAATTGACACCAGTGAGAAAAGTGAGATAACACCTCATAAGATGCACGGTGATTCTAAATTTCTAACAAATACTACTTCAGTAGCAGACATAAAAGTTCACCGCACATAATTGAAACACTACAGAAAGCGAAAACGAGCTACTGGTTTTTAGTCTTATACAGGTCTTACAATATTAAGTAGAAAGCAGCAGGCTAATTTACCAAGGCATATCAAAAATAACCACTAAGCCTGTAGTACAATCTCTTTCTCCACCCATATCTCTACAACCCTTGAGGGAAAAAACAATCTCAGATAGGTGACTTTCATCCCTAAACACGGGCCACTTATCACTAAGTAAATTAAGGTGTGCATCTCATTATTCAAAGCAAAGTTCACAGTTCGTTGTCATGGTGAACAAAAAATATATTGGAAACACAAGTTAACAAAGTCGAATGTCACTATACCGGAGAAGTTGAATACTATACCGGAGTACAAGTACGTGTTGTCTATCCGAAAAGTCTAGGTTTAAGCTAATCATAAGAGAAATGCAGAAATCAATTGAAAATTTCATATAACTTACTCCACGGAAACAATCCAATACAAATTTCCGTCAATCAACGTATCAATAATCTCTGTTATCGTGCAATTTATCAAAGATTCCGCACACTCAAACTACAATTACACTATATCCAAGATTCTACACACTCAAAACTACAATTACACTACAGTCGAAAATATAAGATAATACGAATTTTTGTTAAGAAATAATCTCTATTCTCTCACATTTCTTCAGAGATTCCGCACATTCAAACTACTACGGAGTACTGAAATTAAAAAAATATACGAATATACGATCCGATACCTGAACATAAGAATCGTGCATATGCAATTCTTTAAGAATGTTCTTCCTCAACTCCGAAATCGCAATTTTATCGTCATCATCATCCGCACATTCTTCCGATAATTCATACCTAAAAAAAATATTCAACACAGACAAAAATCAATTTCTCATCCTCATTCAACAATCAAACAACTTCAATTCCAGAAAAATGCAAAAATTTAAAAAAAAAAAAAAAAAAAAAAGGTCAAGAATTTACTAACGCGTGAGCGAAGGCCTGGAGGAAATGAACATCCTGAGAGATGTAATGGCGGAAAGATTCAAGACGAAGATTACCAGCAGCAAGAGAGAGAACGAAAGGAGTGAAGAGAGAGAAAATGGAGTCGCGCTTAAACTTGTTCCAGGACCTTCTAGAGATGCCGACGTCGCTAGCGACGGCTCCGACAGCAGGAACTCCGATCGACGGCGTGGTGGACCTCGGCGGAGGAGCCGTCGCCATTGAAGAAGATCTCGAATCGCCGGAAAACGAGCGCAGAAATCGGAGGAGAGAGAATGAAGGTGGAGGTGAAGAAGAAGACGAGAGAAGAAGAAGAAGAGGAGAAGATCGGAGGAAGGTGGTGGATTTATAGGAGGAGAGAGAAAGTGAAAGAGGGAAGGAGGTTTTTATAGGAGAGATGAATAAAGGGCGCATCAAAGAGGTTTTTTATTTATTTATTTATTTTTATTTTTTAGAGAGAGAAAAAATGAGGTTGGGGAATTTAGAATGGTGGTGGTGGAATTGGAGTTTGGAAATTTAAGGAGGATGAAGGAAAGAAGAAGGAAGAGAAGGGAAACTATCCCAAAACTTTTTGGATATAAAGTAAAGGTTGTTGTGAGAGTGATGGACTTTTTTCATGAATCAATATATGTTGGCCATTTTCATATGGGGTATATTACGGAATATAATTTTTATACTCTGTATACGGATGTTAAGAATGGTTTTGGTTATTCTATAATATCTTGATTTTTTTGTGAAGCCGTCTTATCTTTAGTGTTTAGGGATTGAGAGTATGGGATGTTAAGTTGAATTTCACGTTTTTTGCTCTTAAATATGGATGCATTTTCATTGAATACTCATTGGTATTTCGCTTTGGCTTTTGGTGATTTTCCAGAAAGGTTATACGATGTTTTGGAACTTCGTATTATCTTTTAGTCTAATGTTATGGGCAAGCTAAGTCCCTAGGAGTTTAGGTAAACTGAACTATGAATCACATGTTTTTGGCTCCCATGAATCACAATCAATACGATTCATTTTGTACCAACCCCGTCAATAAGTGTTGATTTGTTTTTGCTTTGGAGGATTTACTAAAATTTAGTCTTGTGTGGTGCCATATGTTGGTGTAAATTAAGTTTTGTCAATTGTCATGTGCTTGTATTACGTTTCAACATGGGTATGTAAGTGCAATTTTACAACACAGACATTTTCTCAAAAAAATGTTTTATAACACAAATATTTTTCTTTAAGTTGGCCATATTAGAAAATTTTGCACATTGAATCTATTCTTACCACTACGAATAAGTTTGCTACCACAATCTTTGTAAAACGCTTAAAAGTGTGCATTGGAGATTTCGTAATATTCTCATGAAAAAACTTTTTTAAAAGAAGGGGTGGGAGATACAATGAAAAAGATACAAAGTACTTCGTATTACTTATTGCTTGCTTACATTGAAAGACTTAATTGCTAAGCATTGTAAAATCACTTTCTAATTAATGTTAATTAAATTAATTGTTAAGGCGTTTCAATTGAAGTAATTGCATCAAATCAAAACTCTCATTTAAAACTTTCAAATGCATAATCTTCGGAAAACGTTTGTCATGTGATACTATCAACTTAAAACGACATGATGCGACGTCACACATTGAAACATGAATAGACCTTGTCCTAAAGCATTAAGATGCCTGTGTTACACTAATGCTCAAACTCTGTACTTTTAGCCTTTTGATCCATGAATTAAAAATCAACCTTATGAAATCATTACTTTATAAAAAGGAGTAAATACACATATCAACATTTTTATCTATGAGATGTGAAATAAAGTTGTGAAATTATTATTAATTTGGTATATGTTCGCTTGATGGAAAATTCATATGAAGTCTTAGCTTACATTAATACTCAAAAATTGAATTTAGTTCTGATCATACCTGGGCGAATTCCAAACCAAAAATAAATAAATTATACGCTAACAAGTATGTATTGTATAGTCCCTTTGTTTTGTCATATATGTTTTTTTTTTAATTTACAATTTATAATGGAATAATATTATTGTAATCAAATACTAGTTGTGCATTAAAAATTTATATAAAAATTACATATTTTAAAAATATAATTGAGACGAATTTTAACAAGATTCAAATAATTATGTTTTTAAGTGTATTATCTGTCAAATTTTAGATTCTATATGTAATTTAATTCCTAAAAATTTTAAATAAAACAATGAATTATGAAGGAAGGAGTATATAATATAAAATCGAGGTCGACAACCATTCAACATCATTATCTATTTGTAGACATCTACAGTATTAGACTATTAGCTAAACAAAGACCCTTGTTTTATTTCATCCAACTTGTCCTAAAGATTGGCCAATCAAATACGCAATTGATGTGAAATTATAGTGCTTTTTACACACCTCAAAATACCTCAGAAAAAGGTTGAAAATACAGTTGAGGTAGAGGCGTACATTAAATCAAGGATATACGGTGGAATTAAAAGTGGAATCGTATGATTTTGGGCTTTGACTAAATAAAAGCAGTGTTGGGATAATAATACTCGTTGTTGATGGGCTTTGACTATTTAAAGTTAGTTGCCGTATTTGGACCTTACTCGGCCTTTAAACTCCGTGATTTAGACTTTCTAGCGAGTTTACTCTTTTTACTCCGTATTTATTTATTTACTAGGTTAGCTCCCAATTTATAGTTATATATAATTATAGATTATTGATTGATAAGTATTTTATTATAAATTAGGGTCTGTTTATATTTACTTATTTTCAGTTCAGTTTTGTTCAGTTCAGCTCCAATCAGTTCAGTTCAGTTCAGTTCAGCTCCAATTAGTTTAGTTCAGTTCAGTTCAGCTCCAATCAGTTCAGTTCAGTTCAGTTCAGTTCAGCTCCAATCAGTTCAGTTCAGTTCAGCTCTAAATTTCCCTCTCTCATAAAATATTCATTTCAACTTAGCTTAGTTCAGTTCAGTACAGTTCAGTTCAGCTCCAATCAGTTCAGTTCAGTTCAGCTCCAACCAGTTCAGTTCAATTCAGTTTAGCTCACTTCAGTAAATATGAACAGACCCTTAGTCGAGAAATAATAAAAGTATATACGTAATATGTCGTTTTTTTAATAGTAACTTCTAATACACAACTAAAATAAAAGTAGGCAAAAAATCAAAGCTATATATTTTCTTGCTATAAAGTAGGTCACAAATTACTGCGAGTATGATTTTTGGTTTATATTTTAGAAAGATTTGTGAAATATTTTTATTGTAAATATTATGATTACTACTTATTAATATGGAATATGTATATAAAATAATGTTATTTTTGTAAATAATTTGATTTCCTTAATCAATAAATATTTTATTTAAAAAAAATAAAAAATAACTAAAGACACACCAGGAGATGACACGTGTCATTGCTGGTGTGTCTTTTAGTATATAGTTATTGATTGATTTATTATTATAACGGTTAAAAAGGAGACTAGCTTCCAACTAACTCAAGATTATATGGATTATGGATAATACACAAGGGCGGATTGAGAATTTATTTATAAATTGGGCCAAAGTTATAAAACATTTCAATTAATAAAGCCATAAAGGAATACGAGTTTAAGAAATCCACACGGAAAAAAGAAAAAAAAAATTGCAAATGAGGGGGAATTGAATCCTTGACCCTCCAAATCTATGTATGAAGTAACTAACCAAACCAACTATAGAACTTATATATTTTGCACAACATTTTTTATCTATATGTTTCAAAATCTAGGCATAGGGGGTGCTAAAGCCTGGGTAAGCCCCCCTAGATCCGCCTATGAGAATACATGACCCCTTAACCAACTAATACAAGAACTAAAAAAGGAATTGGGATTACATACACTATGGACTGCTTGGGGATTAGAAGATTCATCATCAAAATTAATGATTAGGTATGAAAAAATAAGGGTATGTTAGGTATTTGTAATGTGAATACAAATATATTTTTTTTCTAAAAAGAAAATGGTGCAATATTTGATAAAAGAACGGAGGAAGTATATTTTTTTAATATTTGATGATGCTTACTTAATGAGGTAATGATGTTTTTATTCTTTGATAAATAACACTTTTAACTTTTTCTTGTCGGCCCATAGGAAAATAAAGTTGATTAAACATTGAAGGAAAGGGGAAGAGGCAATGTATGACCCCAAATATAAAAATTTGATAACGACTAAATAACTTGCAATTGCAAAAAATATAATGTAGTTGTAAGATCGATTGATCAAACATTTAAAACCTCTCCATGGACTTATGGATTATTCTTTTTTTTTTTTTTTTTTTTGATGGGGACTTATGGATTATTCTTACCTTTCCTCTATAGCGCTAGATTGAGTTGACCATAGTACGAGATTTTAGTATTATAGATAAAATCACTTATTCTTATCCTAAAAAAGTGTAAAATAGTCTAAACGCCAAAAAATTGTGTATTGAATAATAAATCTAATAAATCTCTGCTTATTTTTCTTCTAATATCATTTAAAGAGAGTTTTTTGGTGATTACATGTATTTGTGATTGCCTAGAATTGTTATGGTCATTGGTAGATATTTTGGTGACAAGACTATTGAATAGAGTTGATTTTATTTTTTTGTCATCCATCTATAACTAAGCTCAATTCTTACAAGGCTTTATTAATATCATTATTATTGATGAAAACAATTTATATTTAGATTATTTTGGGCTTATAACAAAAATCAGACAGATTCACCAATGATATTATTGTGTAATAATTTTTATTTTATTTTATTTTTTGACAAATGTAATAATTGTTTTCATTTCATATTATTGTCAACTCAGGATTTGATCAACTTTCTCATGAAAAAAGGTCTTAAAACAAAGGTTAAATTATCGAATATTACGCACAGTACATTACACATGCAAAATTCTATTTACTTCAACAAATGTTTCCAAAACTTAAATTATTGTTTACAAACGTGCAGTGATATGTAGATTTTGTACTATATATTGATAAATATTTGTCCCTCAATATATATTACCTCCGTTTTTTTTCATACTTGTAACAATTTGATTTTTACACTATTTATATGTTCCACTTTGACTACATCTGATGATTTATAGTTAAGAAAAAATACATGTAGTCATGTGAAATCTTGTTAGATTCGTCTTGATTTATATTATTACATATTGGTAATTCAAGATAGTAGCGATTGAAATAACGCAATAGCAAGAGTGAAAAGAAAATTATTACAATTTCTTTTTTTTTTATTATTTTTTTTAGAACCCACAAAGCCCAAATTGGTGACTCAATTTTGAATGTAATTACCATAAATTCAATCTCCTCTAGTTGCACCCACAAACAACTTTTGTTAGGTGAAGAGTGAAGACTAAGGTAAGCCACCACAAAATCAGCACTAAAAGAAAGCAATATTACAAATGAAACTCGATTAAAACATTCATCTTTAATTGGTAAACCTTTATTACGGTTAATGTCATTCATACGTGTAAATTAGTCACCAATTTCATTTGTTATAGAAGTGTAAAATTGGCATTACATCTGAAGTGAATGTGACGAAAAACAAAAGCATTGAAAGTGCGGCAGGTGAAAGGTGTTGCACTTCCAAATTCCAATTCTTGTGTGCTACTAATAGTATCCTAAAGCATGCATCGTGACGAAAACAAAAACGGCATGTTTTAACTGATTTTTCTTTCTTTGGCATTTTATTTTTGTGTTTGGTATTGTGACTTTTGTGGGCTGATTTGGGCCACCTTCTTCTTACTCCTATCAAGTTTTGATGTTCAAATGTTACCTACAAGAAAAAACAAGTTTAAATTAAACATTAAAGCCTCAAGGGGCTATTCAAATTTGATTTATTACCTAAATAAGTTGAATTAAGTGTCAAATGCCAATAAGTTAGAGCTTTACCTAAAATTGTTAGCATAATTGTTTTTTCATGGCTATCTGACCTACAAAAGAAGTATTAAATACCGTCATAAAAAATGATCAAAACCGCCAACATTTATTGTAAATGGACAACCATATCCTTATTAGTACTTCACCACTATCTTCCCTCTTGCCACAAATCACTAACACCTTGACACCACCACCCTGGTCGACGACCACCATCACCCCGACCGACGAAAACCATCACAACCCCCCTAACCGACGACGACCACCACCCTAAACGACGGCGACCACCACTTCCACCACATGACCGGCGACCTACCAAATCCCCCTCAATGACGACCCATCACCTTCCCTCGCCAGTGGTAAGGTAATGATTTATTTTATTTTATCTCACTTCCGAAAACTGCACCAACTGAAGCTGGAAACTTACCGGGCATGGTAACTAATTTTGGGCTTCGGTTACCGTGGCAACCGATTCCTAGCTCCAGTTGGTGCGGTTATCAAAAATAAAAACACCCACCATCTTCCTACCGACGAGGGAATGTGGTGGGTTGTCATTGAGGGGGGATGTGGTGGGTCGCCGGTTGGAAAGGTGTTGGGTTATCAAAGAGAATAAAGGTGGTGAAGTAGTAAGGACATGGTTGTCCATTTACACTGAATGTTGACAATGGTGATCATTTTTAATGGCGGTGTTTAACAATCCACAAAAATAATTCAACTAATCAGGCATGTCAATGGCCAATAAGCTAAAGCTTGAGCTTAAGGGCCTGTTCTCTTACGTTGAAATTCAGTTCAGTTCAGTTCAACTCAGTTTAGTTCAATTCAACTCCTAATTTCCTTCTCTTATAAAATATTCAGTTCAGTTCAGTTCAGCTCAATTCAACTTAGTTCAGTTCAATTCAGTTCAGTTCAGTCAATGAGAACAGGCCCTAAGTCACAACACTCACAAAGTCACTATGATTGTTCATACGAGTAAAACAAAATCATTCATGCATCATTCAACACTCGTAACTAGTTTAATCTCCCTCTGTTTCAAATTAATTGCAACATTTTTCAACCCTAATTAATCGAGATTAGCACTGTCAAAACGGTTTGACAGTTCGGGTTCGGTTTGGTTTGGAATCGGTTCGGTATTAAATCGGGTCGGTTTGAAATCGGTTTAAGTGTCTCGCGGGTCGGTTTCAGTTCGGTTTAAATACTTATCGGTTCGATTCGGTTTCGGTTTATTCTTGAGCGATTTTAATTCGGTTCGGGTTGTAAACGGTTCGGGAAGTAAACGGTTCGGTACAGCCGGGTTGCAGTTTGTTAACGGTTCGGTGTAAATGGTTTTTATACCGGTTCAAACAGTTTTGGGTTGGAAACGGTTTCGAGTTAGAAACGGGTCGGTTCTTTTTCGGTTCAGTTTTATTTTGGTTCGGTTTGTTAACGGGTTTGCCTTTTATAGGATTTAACGTTATTCGGATCAGTTCCATTTCACGTTTACTAAATTATGGTTCGGAAGTCGGTTTTTAATCGGGTCGTTTGGATTCGGGCAGTTAAACGATTTTGGTTTGAAGTTTCATAGTACTTGCTAACCTTTTGCTGGTTAACAAGTTTTATATCAAGCCGAAACTTCATCACTTCATATTTAGGCATTAGGCATTATATTATATACAAATTCTCATCGATTTCAAAAATACATATCATGTTATTTGAAGTTTAGTCATATTGATCTTACTAGTTTATTACGAATTAACGTAGATTATAAAAGTTTAGTGTATTAATGAATTATTATTGTTTTACTATCACATTATTAGCTGCTTCTTATTCAATCAACTAATTGATGTGTCATAATCATGATTTGATGAGTTATTGTGACGTCGAAATTACAGTTTGATTTATAGAAGATTCGGTTTGTGAGTGGTTCGGTTTATAAACGGTTCGGTGCAAACGGGTTGCAGTTTGTTAACGGTTTGGTGTAAACGATTTTTACCTCGGTTCAAACGGTTTCGGATTGAAAACGGTTTCGGGTTAGAAACGGTTCGGTTCTTTTTCGGTTCGGTTTGCTTTCGGTTCGGTTTAGAATTGGTTCGGTTTGTTAACTGGTCCGGTTCTTATACGGTTTGACATTATTCGGATCGGTTCGGTTTCAGGTTTACTTAAATACAGTTCGGGTCGGTTTTCGGTTTTACAAAATCGGTTTTTAATCGGTTCGGTTCTCATTTGGGTCGGTCGGTTTCGGGCAGTTAACAGTTTCGGTTTGAAATTTGACAGCACTAATCGGGATGAATGAAAATTAGGAAATACTTAAAATGGTGGTCGATAATCTCATACTTTGCATTCTTGTATTACTCTTTTGGGTTACCAACAATCGAGAGTCCCCAGAATGGGAGGGGTGACCTGGTATCAATGGGGAGCACACACTTCTTATCCCCAAACTCTCTCTATCACCTCTTCTCAAACCCTAATAAACCTCTCCAAAACCCTAATTTTTCATCAAAATTTTGCTGCTCTTCATCCTCTAGACCTAATTGGGGTTCCAATTTCGACACGTCTCAGCGCCGGAAATTCGAATTTGAAGATGAATTTGGGAGGAGAGAGAAACGGAGGAAGAATTGGTGGTCAGACGATGATGACGACGACGACGACGAAGAAGAAGAGTCTGGATTTTGGGAAGAGTCTTCTCCTGCTATTGACTGGTTCTTCAAGGTATAAAAACGCCTCAATTGTCTTCGAAGTTTTCTTGATAATTGCATTGTTTTGCTGCTAAAATTCATGCCATTTTTATTGCATTATTAATCAATTATGCATTGTTATGTTAATGAATGTTGATGTTTTGCTTCAAATTTCCTCAAAATTGGAAATTGATTTAGTTGTTGTGTTACTAGTTCAAATTATACTATCAATGCGAAGTTTGTTTCGGGACAATGGGAGTATCTTTAATGATAGTTAGTACTGTATTTGTAATAGCCTAATAGGGGGTTGTGTATTGTGTTGAAGTTGTTGGGAAAGGATCTAATTATTATTGTAAGAGGAAAAGGTGGTAGTCTTTTCTTTAGAGGCAAATTGATGATTTTGTCGACTAATTGTGTTAGCGGCGTCCTTTTTCCATCACTTGGTCTAAGTGTGAATAAGTTGAGAAATCAATCTTATTTAATACACCGTCAATTTTAAATAATTTGGCTACATGTGATGTATGTAATCAAAGCATGTTAACTTTGATCATGGCTATTATATGAATATATTAGGCAATACTATAAAAGATAACGTCGTGGACGTAGTCAAAGTACTTTTGAAGGTGAATTTAGCAAGTTTAAATTATGTCATAATGCTAGCACACTTTGATCATTAAAAAATGGCTTTTTTTCCGTAATGAGGCAAGATTATTAATAATTAAGTGAATATAATATCTAGTCGTCTTCAGGATATACAAACATGTCACAATGACTGCTATATTTAGATAGAACGAGCAATGACATGGGATTACAGATCAACATTTGCACTGTCATAATGAGTACTGCCTCTATTGATGCTATAAGTCTATAACTTTCCACATCTGTAAAGAGGCTTCCACTTATAGTAGGGTTGTGGTCTGGATGTGTACTATCTTAAGTCCTCTGATATCGAAAGATTCTTTGTAATCGGACCCTTGATTTGAAGGGAAACAATTATTTGCCCGTTCATCGTTTGAGGCTTCCACTTATATCAGCATTTTGGTTTCGATGTGTATTGTGTACAATCTTAAGCCCTCTGACATCAAAATATTGTTTTGTAATCAACCCTTGATTTTAAGGGAAACAATCATTTGCTGATTCATAGTAATGAAGAAGTATAGAGTTTAATGAACCTTTGGAATTAGTTCATCAAAACCCAAAGCCAAAGTATAATGAATATCCGGGTAAACCGGTAAACCGACTCCATAAGCGATGGACTCATAGCTTAGAATTACCCTTATTTATTCATTTATTTATGGCAAAATGTCCGTACTCTTTCTGATTATAACCCTAAGGCTCCAATCAAAGAACCCAGGTGTTACAACCATTCTACTCATTTTTTGCTGATGAAGTGATGATAGTTGAAGGCTGAGCATAAGTAATTCTTAGTGATCTCACTGTAGTACTATTATTATCCAAATAGAGTTGGGTGCTTGTGGAGTTGGGAGAAAAACAAAAATTCTAAAAAAGCTAATATGGCGGATGATGAGCACCGTAAAAGTACATTTTATCAGCTACAGCTAGTAGCGTAGCAGTCATCATTTCAGCATAAATTCATTGATTTTAAACATGGAGCCTGATTTTTTTTTATCGCACTCTCAGATGAAGTTTAGTGATAAAGGGGAGCTGGAATAGAGAGGACATTATTAGATAAGGAAGATGCAAGGAGAAAGAATATTAGTGTGATTTATATTCAATTCTTATTTTTAGGTGATGAAACTATGTGATTATTATTTGCTGACAAAGGTGCATGAGCATCACAAGTGACTAAGATACAGAGTAGTATACTGACTTTATATAAAAATTAAGGGCATCCTAATGTTGATAAAATTGGCTTGTGTTTGTCATCCTAGTGGCTTGTATTTCGTAATCCAAATAAAGATTGTTCGGTTGGAGTAGTATCCTTATGCTGTATAGTGTATACCAAGCAAGCTTAGTAGATTGGTGAAACTGTTTGCCTGCCCAATATCTCATCGTAAGCTTGACCACCAACCTCACCCCAACCTATGTTGCTTGGTACATGTTATGATACAATTCGTGGCACAGGAATGCAAATGTAGATAGCTGCTTTCCCACTGTTTCTACAAGCTCTTAAAGTCCTCATTTTCAAGTTAACATCCTGCATTAATATAAAACAGTTTCACCAAAATGAACTATTAGTAGCCCTTTGTGACTTTTATACTTGTTTTTCAGCCAGGTATAGTCAAAAGAAGAATGCACAAAGGCTATATTGCTTGTATACTCATTGAAAATTATGATAAAGTACTCACCAGTCACAATATTACAATTCAGTTCTGTATAAGTTTTACTGTGCCTATCAATTTACCTTCAACAAAAGTTATTCTATCAAAGATGCTCAATACTAGAAATTTCCATCTTATTATCTCTCTGCCATCACTGCTGCTATCCAGAACAACTAGTGCTACTATCTTCTATTCCTAAATTCTTCCATCACCTTGTATAGTTGAATGGTTTATACTCGTTAAAATATTCCTTTCCTTGGCTTATATATTATCATAAACAAAATCTTGAAACTCTTAACATGCATCATACTTCATTATATATAATGTGAGAATATCTTTGGATGGTATTGATGTGAATCTTTGAAGAGGCAGTATAAGGAGGAAGCATGAAAGTGAAAAATGAAACTGTTCTGGATGGTTTATATGGCCTTTTGTCAAAGTGCATAATTTTCTTTGGATGGTGTATATGCGGTTAATCGCTTTAGCTTTTAATACTTAAGGCTTGGTTTATGCTTCGATATAAGTATATGTGAAACGAAAAGATTAATGTTTTTTTCTTGTGTGTGTGTGTGTGGGGGGGGGGGGGTGTTAAGCCAATTTTATTTATTTATTTATTTTTCTTTTTTTTTTCCCAGTTGTTAGTGCTGGCTATATGAATTCTTCTCTGATGAACTGGTAAAAAAAATGTATCTGGTGGAAGTGTGAAGCTTTGGCTATCAGTATAGAAATGTCTTCACTCACTGAATAGTGCTGGTTATATGGATCCTTCTCCATTGACCTGGAAGTGAGTGTATCTGGTGAATCTTTGGTAATGTGTATATACCAATTTAGAAAACATATATGTATGTTAGCCTGGATTGTTGGGCCTAGTTTTGGCCGAGGGAGAAAATTGAGGCAATATTATATTTGGTTGTATAAGATTGTAGAAAATTCAAAGAATGTGATTTGTTTATTCATGGTGCCTCAGTTTGCAAAATAAATTTAGTCCCAACAAAATAGCCTAACTTATTAGTCAGTATCGGCTACATGAATAAGCCAGAAAGGAATCTCTTGTGTAGAAGCCTTTGCAATGTTATGTTCTCTACCCTAAATGTCCTATGTACTTTTGGAGTGGGAGAGAAATGGAGATTGTTTCCTTTGTATATCCTCTAATATATATAATCCTAATGCAATATTAACAATGTGAGATTGTTTAATTATATTTTTGGATGGCCTAGTTTAGAAAAAAATTCACCATCTATGTCGGACAGGGGCTATGTGCTAGCTGTCAGAAAGGCTTAGAAGTATGTATAAGACAATTCCACCTAAACTGCCTGGTGATTGATTTGCTGTATCTACATAATTGCACCTTACTCTGTTAACAGATGCTGCTTCTAAAATTAGTATAAATGTGTGATAGAAGCAACTTAATGGTGTTTACTTCATTAAGTCCATATTTTGTCTGATTAATGTGGAGTTCATTTGGCCCTCAGTTAACATGCCTTACCTTCAGAATCACCTTCAAGTTGAAGGTTTTGCTAGCAAGAAATTCCGCAACTGTTGTCTATTTGGGTTGCTAATTGCTACTAATTTTAGATTTAAAGTCCTTGAGTGTGTATAGTACTGTATTTTTAGTATTCCTATAGAAGGTGAGGTCTCTTTTACTTCCCTATTAATGATTGGTAGCTCATTTTCTTGTCTTGCTGAGCTGTCCTGTTCCCCATGGTTTAACATTCTGGAGAAATGATAGCATTAAACCAGTATTTAGGCGAACAAAACAGATATTCTAAGCTTTTGATTGTATGGTTCAAGCAATTACAATATCAACACTACTAAGGACACCTAGGGACAGGGTCAATACTTACATGCTCTGAGACTAGGAGTTTAAGCAAATAACCAGAATCCTAATTAGACAGGCTAGTAAACGATAAACTAATATAGGTAACAAAAAATAAAAAATGTTTCCTAATACTACGTTGACTCCCAAATTAACCGAATACTCTTTACTTTTTCTCAAGTGGGAGCGTGGAGATCACGAGCACCCAACTTAAATTATAAAGATGAGAAGTCCAAGACACCAAGAGCTCTCAAATACTCATTAGGAGGTCAGTGGTTTCAGTTAGCACATCTTGAATCTTCCCTTCAAAATTGCATCCTAAGTTGAATATTTTGTGAATAATAAATTGTGCAACCTCTCTTGTTTGGGTTGCTATTTGTTATTACTCTGCATGCTACTCTGTATATAATAAGATCTTTGGAGTTAAGTCATTAGTTTTTTAACAGTACTAATTTTTTGTTTTTGTTGTCTGCTTGTGGTAGAGGAGATTTCTTTTATTTCCCTATCCTTGATTGATAACTTAGTTGTCACAGAGCCTGAAATTTTCTTTCCTCTTAAATTTTAATCATTTTCGAGATGTGATTGCTGATAGTTTGTAACTTTATTATTTTGATGAACACAGATAGCCAAAGCCTTTGGTTGGATGGTTCCAATAGTTCTGTTATCAACAGTATTAGATACAGGATCAAATTCACTCATGATGGCATTGGTGCTTCCCTTGGGACAAACAGCCCTTTCCCTAGTAATGGATAAACTATGGGAAGACCCAAGCTCTAGCCGAAATTTCAGGCCCCAATCCAGGCCAAGGTCAAAGTCTAAGACCAGAAGGTCCAGGTCTAAGGGATATGCACGAAAGGCAAGATCCCGTCCACGTCCTGTAAATGGTGACTATAAGTCATGGGAGGCAGCTAAGAAAGATGGGAGACCTGATTCGAAATTTGGTGGATGGGATGAGCTGGATCAAGAAGTAGCGAGAAGCAACAGCTTTGCTGACGAGCAAAAGCCAAAGGTTGATACTGGTAAATTGAGTAGGACACTAAACAAAGATAAACCATTGTTCATAAGGTTGCTGATTGCTGTGTTTCCAATTTTGGGCTCATGGATCAGGTTCCTTTTCTGAATTGAATGTGAATAACAATCAGCGACATGAGGGATTGATTATACAGTACATATTTTGCTTTAGATATGTGATTATTAATTGAATTATGTAACTAATGTAAGATATGAATATTAGCTTCTTTTTGTCTCAGTTACTATAGCTCTCCGTGACAGACTACAATGTTATTGAAATGGCATGAGAAGTTGGCGTGATTTCTGTTTTCGGTTACTGTTTTCGCTATTGTTCAAACTAGCTAAATAGCTTTGAAGAGCATCTGATCAGGAAATTTACCTCCATTGAACTGAACTACAGAGTACAAGTATATCCAAATACAAATGAATCAAGTATATCTAAATCCAAATAAACTTGAACCGAAGGACTCATCATTCGAACTTGACTAAAATTGAATTTACATGAACCGAACTCTATCTGAGCTTTTTCGAATTACCATTGAACTACTGTATAACTCAGGGCAGATATTTTTCTGTTAAACAAACTGTAAACAAAGGCAAACAAAGATGAAAAGTACAAAGTAGAACCACAAGTTAAGAAATATGATACTCCACAAACTTATTGTCACAAATATATTTTTTCTGTCATTATAAATGGTCCTACACTTTTGTTTAATTGTTTGAAAGTTCTTTTCTATATACGTATATTTACCTCCACCGTTCAATATTGATAATAATTTATACGCAGTATAAACTATCCTTTTCCAGCAAATGGCAAATTGGGTGCTTCGCCTAAATTGTGTTGACTTGTGCTCAAACAATATACTTTTGTCTGCAACTCATGATATTCAGCAAAGACTGTTTCATCAATAAACTTTGTGTTTCAACTTCATTTTGAAAGTAGCCATCAATTTCCCCTAAACAAAGATGGTCCAATTATGTGATATTCTCCATCCTTTTAAGTTTGCCCCGTTTGAACCGTTGGTAAAAGATTGTTCGCGAAGGATCATAATATTGCAGAATCACTCTCACATATATTGCTTTGGTCATCAAATATTTGTAGCCAAAAATTCTGACACATAATATAAAACAAGAAATATAGTTAATTTATATGGACAAGTGGACAACTTATTAAATTTACTTAGACATGAGAACAATGGATGAAGTACTATTAATGTAAAAGTTATCTTTAAGCTTAGTCGCATGTAATTATATTCAAAATTAATTGCTACCTAAAGAAAGAAAATACACTTTGAAGGAAGAGATAGCCAAAAATCAATCAATAAACACAAATAAATAATGTGAAGGTTTGGTATTATATTATATGTCTTGATTGGTTAAGTACAAGCTTGTGAGAAGGAAAGACTGATCACATAATAACACGCAGTAGATATTTTCATCATACTACCAATTGGTAAAAATAGGTTGAGTAGTCGACTACTCTTCTTCGTCTTATTTCATGTTTATTATATACTTCTTCCTTATAATTGATGATAGAAGCTCATATCAGTGGAGTATCTTGTTACTAGTCATTACGAAGTATTTATTTGTTGGATGAATGATTTTAAGTTATAATTAAGCTTACAACTTCAATATCTATAAGTAATTTACTCTATTCAGGAACTGATTTAAGTACGCCAAATATTAGTTTTGGCACACTTTCAATGTTCTTCTCACGTACAATCTTGATGTGTTAAAATTAATATTTTTTTGGTGTGGCCTAACCCACTCTAAACATATATGATCAATTAAATTTGTCTTGAATATCCATGCATTATCAATTATTGATTCACCACATCATTAATCATTAGTTATTGAAACACAATGCATAAACTAAAACAAGCACATTTTAGAATTCACGCAATTTTCTGATTAATTGTGGTTGCCAAAAAGATTTGAAAAGTAAAGAAAGTACCACAAGAATCACAACTATACTTTGATGAAGTGACAAATTCTGTCCAAAAAATAAAGAAGTAAATAATAATTCTGGACATGGATAAAATTAAAAACCAGATTCTTTGCAGACTATTCTTGCACGTTTGAAACCTTGTGCTGTGTGTATTTGTCCTCTACTATGGCATCATAAAATTGTGTGGACAAAAAATATTCCTACCCTATTTTAATTTCTATTTTGTTTTATATATATAAAAAAAAATTAATAAATAAAAAAAAAATTAATAATGTAGTAATTTCAAAATGAATTGTGAGGCTATGATAAATGACTTCCAAAGTCACATGCTTAGATAAGCTTATTGAAACTCATACTTTGGTTATTTAAATGTCAAGGTTGAATTAGTTAACACATTTATGTATTTAGGGTGACTATAGAAAGGCTTATAGCAATTAATTAGTGGGTATAAGTGTCAATAAGTTGTTAATAAATAATCTATTGAGTTTTGGTCATATTCGACTGGAGTGGTTTGGTTCATGTTGAATTATATTTGGTCATTCAAGTCTATTGTTAATCAACAATCATTACTCAATTTGGTAAAATTGTTTAGATTATCGAGATTTTAAGTTCAACTTCTAGCTAATAATGATTCATTTATGTAGAAGTCTTTAGGAGCTAATGATACATAACTCGTATATTTAGAATAAAATGATAATAACCTTTTGAGCTATCAATAAAGTCACAGAAAAGTAGTTATGCGAGATGGAATTCACAATAACAAAAATCAAATCATGCTTAAAAGGGTGGAAAAATATGCAATTTTACCAACTAAATAATTAATGTACACACTTATACACGACTACACGAGCAATAACGTTAGAAATCATACGAAAGCAAAAATATGGGCAAAAACATTTCAACTTACGTATAAAAAACTACCCTTAAAAGTTGAACTCAACCTATAAATGGTGAATTTCTTTAGTCATGCTTAGTTTGCACAAGATCATACATTTCTTCCACCATTTTGAGGACTAGGAGTAGTGCTAGTTGGCTCTATTTTCCTCATCATGAAGGAGGGTCTTTGTGACGGGTCATCTTCGTCATGGTACGCGTAGGCAAACCCGCCATGTCGGGTCATATCCATACCCGCGGTTTCATCTTCACTTGAGATCCGTAACAATTTGAGCTTCTTAAGGATTAAGAAAAGTGGAGCCATTGTGGCGGTAACCCACCCGAACACAACAAGGATTTGGATCACTTGGGCCGCGAGTAGTCTTCCCCCACCACCCATAAATAATCCGTAAGGCCGATCCAACCCGTACACCTCCCCGACATAGTGTTTACTAGCGAATAGACCGGTAAAGAGTAGGCCCCACGCGCCACAACCGGCATGCAATTGGGCTGCCTCAAGTGGGTCATCATACTTGACCTTTTCAGCTAACTTGTTTAGCCCAATTAAAACCCAAGCAGCCACAAACCCACAAACAATAGCAGCCCAAGGCTCAACAACAGAACATCCAGCAGTAATTGCTGCAAACCCACCCAATAGCCCATTGCACACATCTATCACATTCCAATGCCCAGCCAACAACCTCTTACCAAATAAGGTAGTCAACGCTGCGGTCGATCCCGCCAATGTTGTGGTGACAGCTGTCCTCCCAACCCCACTCCATTGACCATAATAACCTCCTGGAGACCCATACGCCTTTAGAATAGTCAAAAATGAACCCGGGTTAAACCCATACCATCCAAACCAAAGCAAGAATGTCCCTAGTACTACCAAAGAAGCACTATGGCCCCTTAGAACAACGGAGCGACCCGACCGGTCAAAACGACCGATCCTCGGGCCCTCAATAAAAGCTCCCCATAGTCCCGCTACCCCACCAACCATATGGACCACACCAGACCCAGCAAAATCAATTACACCCGACCCGAACAATAAATTGTCAGTATTGGTTGGGCTAGCCCATCCATCTACTGACCAAAACCAATGAGAAACAATTGGGTATACAAACCCAGTCAAAAAAGTGGAGTATATAAGATACGCCACAAACTGGGTCCTCTCTGCAATCGAGCCGCTGGTAATCCCAGCGGCCGCGATTGCAAAGGCCCATTGATACAAGAAAAAACTATAGTCAAACGTTCCCGAGTCAGTAGACTCAGGAATGTTCTTAAGACCAAAGAAATGACGCCCAACAAAACCATTAGAAGGGGCACCAAAAGCAAGAGCAAATCCAAATAAGTAATACGAAAGCGAGCCAGCAGCCGCATCTAGAACATTCGTAAGCATGATATTCATCGTATTCTTAGCCCGAACCGAGCCAGCACACAACATCGCGAACCCAAGTTGCATGGCAAACACCAAGTACGCCGAGAACAACAAGTACGTGTTGTCCACGGCGTATGTCACCGTTGTAAAACGGTCACATAGGTACGAAGCAGCGGCGCTAGCATTAGCCGTGCCGCCTAGGAGAGGAAGTAGCTCGGCAGCGTTGCACGACATTATTGTTGGTAGATAAAAAACAATCAAAGAGAAGTAGAGATAAGAGATAGATGATGTTACAAGCAGTGTTATAATGGCATGGGATGGGAGAAGTGTTTGTATATATAAAGGAAGTTGTCGTTGTAGTTGTAACTAGTCAAGTGTATACTTATATTATTCTACAGTTAGAATCTTGGATGTCAATAATTCTACTTTGCCTGTTTATTTTTCTTTTCTTTATTTTTAATTTTCTTTATATTTTTTTGGATCTTAGTAGCTAATTTCTAGCTAGCTAAGAAGAGGGAATTTTTCAAAGTTGGCTGCATCTTTCTTGCATATATCATCAATGATGAATCTACTTTTGTAACAACTCGCAAAGTTGCACGTATTAATTCGTTCAAATAAATAAAGTTAAAGATTCACATGAACTCCTTAGTAAAAAAAAGGCGGGTTGGTGTACAATTGATAAAAGTAAGAAAGAGTAACTAGAAAATATTTAAATATATTACTATGTTTGTTACATATTAGTTGCAATTTTAGGATATTATTTGTGAGATGAAAGATGTGTTTGTGAAAAATAAATTATTACAAAAACATTTGTATGAGAAAACATAGTAAAGTGAGATCTTGTTAGTTAAATTTGTATTATTAAAATATTAACTACTTATAATTCTTACTAATCTAATTGAATGATAATTATATGCACGATCAAATTAAAACTAGTAAATTGAAAACTATGAATGATATATTGATATGATGTACTCTGTAACTATTTGGTAAACTAGAAGTGGATACTCAAATAAAACACTTTAAAAGATAAAATTAAAGTGGGTACATAAAATAATTAATAAATAAATAAATAAAGGAAAGAAAGAATATGCTTCATTCTTTAATTTTTGAGGCTATAGAATTAATGAAAGAATCATTTATTGGATTTTGTGTGAACTTAAAATAATTCTCTTTAGTCCTCATTGCTTGTCATAGTTTAATCAACATTGGACATTGTTTGTCCCACTTATTGAGTATTTGCAGAATATGTATGTGGCAAATAAAATTTATGAATAAGCACTACTATAAAACTATATAGCCTTTTCTATCACATTTTTAAAAATACATCAAAATGAAATTATATTGGTTGATAATAAATGTGGATGTCACAAAGGATGATATTGTAAGCAAAAAGTAGGACATGAAAATTTTAAATCATCATTGCTAATTGTCCTAAAGGAATGAAATATGGATGGTACTGATCTATCGTCTCTAAATAAAAGTATTATTTTTTCATAATTTTTTTATTTGTAGATTAAAAATTGGCGTGTTAAAAATTTGAGATATTAGCTAGGAAAATATATGGCTTAGCAATGCTAGCTAATAGTGAGTAATTTAAGTGTACCTATATTTAACTTATAAGAGCAATATGATACTACAATAATTAAAACTTGTGTGCAAAAGTCATTATGTTTATATACAAACGAAGGGAGTAGTTTAATTTAGTAAAAGACTTTAAAATGTGGGGCGAACTGAAAAAAAATGTGAGATTAAGGCCTTGTTCACTTCACCTTAAAAAAATAATATTAAGTAAAAATAATTTCAGTTCAGTAAAAATAAGTTCAATTCAGTAAAATTAATTTCAATTCAATAAAAATAATTTCAGTTCAGTAAAATTCAGTTTTCATAAAGAAGAATTATTATAGAAAATCATTAAAATTAATTTCAGTTCAGTAAAAATAATTTCAGTTCAGTAAAATTAATTTATGTTCAGTAAAAATAATTTAAGTTCAGCAAATATAATTTTGTTCCAGTAAAAATAATTCCAGTTCAGCAAAAATAAGTGAACGGGGGGCCTAAATTTAGTTTACATACATTATTATTCTCTATAACTCTTTATACAATTATACACCAGTCAAATATATATATGAAATAAACACATTTGAAAATATTACCAATTCGTATACATATAGATTGATCAAATGTAAGTTTAAAATTTTCATCCTATGACATAAATTTTAATTAAAACAATAGTAGGGCGGACCTATTGTAAATTAGATTTTCCATCCACAGTTGATTTCTGTAATTTGTGTACTTGTATTGTACTCAGTCGAGTCTTTGGTTGTGCAAATATGATTGTATTATTTTCGCTTTGTTGAAAATTAAACACAACTAATCAACTATCTATCTTATGTCTCTTTTGTACAATAGGACAATCCTGGACCATTTGAGCTTTTAATATGCTTGTTTTGATGAAAGAGGTGACTTTCAAAGTCAAGTTAGCACAATAACTTTTCCAATTCTTGTATAAGATTTTTTTTTAATGGGGTATGATATATAGAATATTGATTTACTAAAAATAATAAGAATAAAATTCCATTTAAAGAAAAAAAAAACAATATTCAGTAATTAAATTGCAAGTATTTTTTTGAAAAATTAAATATAATATATAACCATACTGAGTTGAGATCCTCTATAGTTTGAAAATTATAGAGTTGTAGAGTTGTGAGAGTGAGAGTTAAATTATTTTTTATTGAACTTTTATTTTTTATTTTGAAATGCATGCAAGATGAATATTAGCCATTGATCTTTTGTGGAGGGTCTAGATTTATTGAACTCTATAGAGTTCAACTCTAGAGGATCCAAACCCAACAATACTTACTCTCTTCGTATTGAGATTGGTGTTCTTTTCGTTATCACCTGATTTTTTATCAAATAATTTGATTTATTCAATAAATTTAGTAAACCAACCCTAAATAGTACTCCGTAACATAAATATCTCTACGTACATAGGGGAATCATCTGCGACTACACATAAATACATAATTATCAATCATTGTAGGATCTTTGGTATATATTGGTAATCTAATTGTAGTGGCGTGGATACGGTAAAAACCAAATACGGATATCATGTAAAAAAAACTATTTATAAATTTAAATGAAATTGCACTGCCATTGAATCATAACACATGCTATCTTGCATTCTTGCCTATCTAGATAGATAGATATGATAAAGAAATAAAATAACCTATTTATATGGAGAGTACCATACCTTGAATCTTGTACAAAAACATTAATGTAGTATTCAGAATCTTAATAACAAGGTAATTAATTTATATTTCTTTCTTTCTTTTTTATTCATTTTATATGTATCAAAATTGAGCTTGATGGAATATAAATGGTGGGGGAAGTAGAGTCAATAATCATTGCCACTTTTTTTTTTTTTTTTTGTTTTTTTTTTTTTTTTTTGAATCTCATAATCATTGCCACTTTGCCGTAAAACTAATCATTTTTTTTAAATATATAAGTGAAGTCAAATTTCACTGCCTAGACTTTAAAATTTGTAAATAATAAAACAAAGTTAATAATGGAGCAAAAGTATGAGAGAGATGATGAAAAAGTTGTGTAACTGTACGTATATAATCAGGTGCACATTTGTCCAACATTGAAGCAGTATCCAAAATATATATAGCCTCTCTTGCATATATATCACTGCCTTTGATTATCAACCTTCAATTATTTCTAACATTTTGTTTTTTGTGGATGAAAAACAGTAGTTTTTTTTTTTAAAAAAAAAAGGTTTATAGCAATAACGTCCACTTTAAACTTTTGTACACATTAGAGTAATTTTAAACTTTAAACTAATCAATAAGTAATAAATAATAATAATAATAATCAATAAATAATAATAATAACAATAATAACAATAATAATTGAAATAATAATACTAATAATAATAATCAATAAATAATAATAATCATCAATAAATAATAATAATAATAATAATAATAATCATCAATAAATAATAATAATAATCAATAATTAATAATAATAATAATATTATTATTATTATTATTAATATGTACATTTGTATATACACATATGTATAGTAATAAATAATCAAAGATCACTAATCCGTAGTTAAAAATCACTAATTAATAAGTTCAGTTCAGTTCAGTTTAGCTGAGTTCAGTCAATCGGAACAGGCCCTAACTGTTAGGCCAAGACCACTTGAATCGTTAAAAAAAATATTTAAAATAAAAAAGAGTGATCACTTCAATATGACAACATGATTTACATAAACAAGAATTCGCATTTCAAAATACTTGATAGTCAGCGTTTATACTTGTATTTCAAACTCAAATTCAGAAAAATCATACTAGTATGAAATAAGAAAATTATAATTTCCAATTTTCCAGTGTTAAAATACCATAAGGAATTATTTTTAGCCAAACAATACCAAACAGAATATTACGGAGTAATTGCAATAGAGGGTCATTATCATAAACAACCATTCTTTTTTCTAATATTTTTTTTTTGGTGGGAACAGTATACCCATTCTTGGTAAGGCGTGCTATATGCAGCAATGTGACTTCTGAGTGCATAGCAGCATATAGTAAAATGTTTACAGCTTTTTCAAAAAAAGAAAAAAAAAATGTTTATAGCTTCAATCCTTCGTTTTTTTCATTTTTCTTATAAAAATACAAAAAAAAAAAAAAAAAAAAAAAAAAAAAAAAAAAAAAAAAGAACAACAACAAAATTAACAGTTTGGTTGTAACATAAATTAAGTAGATAGGTCTATCAAAACTAATGAGACCTATAAATCTATAATAATTAGTAAGAGCTTGTTCTATTTACTGAAATGAAAATTGTTTATGAGAGAAGGAAATTAGAAACTGAACTGAATTAAACTAAACTGAATTGAAATTAAGTTGAAGAGAACAGATCCTTAGTGTATATAACTATATGAGGTGAACAAAATATGGCCTACATATGACAAAGTACGATATTCATGACAAAATAATTCATTAATTGATATTTTTACTAGTAGCAGACTGCCTAGCAGGTCTCCTTCATAAAAATAAAAAATAAAAAATAAAAATAAAATAAAAATCCATGTATCATTTTCCTTAATTTCATAATCGTGCACTGTCATGCTCAAAGTCATTAATCACTTAGGTTTGTTCTTTGCTACATAAAAATATATAATTAAAAGTATATATATGGGCAATATATAATAATTTGTTGCGTATGTATCAAGATTCCTCGTCAGAACTTCCACATCCAAGAATATTCATGCTAGCTATTTGAAGTGTTTCTATCTTTCAATTTCCCTATTAAATTTGTATTCTAGTCAATTTTATTAATTC